AACACCCAAAACAGTGCAATCGTTAAACCCCCCCATAATTTTCAGACGTTATCACACTTCATAGATTACCGCAGCATCTGCACTGCATTAAAGACTTCACAGCACACCTTAGGGCCAAACTAAATGAAAATGAAAAATAAAATACTGAAAGGTTATGTCAATCTCTCAGATACAGAACTAGTCTGAAGTCTGCTTAGTATGAAAATGGTCATAGCGACACATCGGAAGATGATGGATCCCCCCTGTCAATTAGTGAATGGGTCAATGAAACCTGGCCCATTGCTTTACGGACAAAGTCCTTATCAAAAAGCTCAAAGGAGTCATTTTCAAGCAGTTGACAAGTCTGGCCGACACTGGCTATTACTCTTTTGGAATGAGAAAATCTGCAGCAGGATTTCTCTGATTCCTTTCTATGAACCCCTGCAGTGTATTTTCATGTGTGTGGTGGTGTTTTTTTTTTAACAAATGCTGTTCTTTTAAAATAAAATACTGAGTAAAATAAATACACACTTTGGCATTTCCCCTCTTTCACCTTTGGCTTTTCACAGACCAAAAAGCTTCGGCTATGTTCAAAGTTTCCCCCCAGGGTCCCCACCGGGTCATGGCCTGCGACCCCTACCATCCTTGCTGGGCCTGTTTCCCATGAGCCGCAAGTGCTCCTGTTCTGACCACCCCTGAGAGGACGTGGCCCCTCCTGCCCTTATATGACTGACCCCTCGTCCTGCCAGTCTCCTCCCAGACAGAGACAGTGGGCCCTGGGATGGTGGGTCAAGAGCTGAGCCAGAATGCCTGGCAAAGGCCTCCGTGTCTCTTCAGCTGCTTCTCCTCAGCAGCAGGGCCCCCCCCCATCCTTTGGCTCCAACAGGCCTGAGAGCAAATTAGCTGCAGAAAATACCAGCAGGACGGTGCAGAGTTATGTGGGGCCCCCCCTCCATCTCCCACAATGGCTGTCTCTGCTTTCCCCACCCCAGTCTCAGAGACAATCCGGAACTGCAAAAGCGCACAGAATTCAATGGTAGACTCAGCTGCTGGCACCTCTGTTCTGAAAGGGCTTATCCAGATGGGCCACGCATCTCCCAAACATGTTCTCTCTTTCATGTGATTTATTAGACTTTTCTCCCGCTTTTCAGTTTGGTGTAGTGGTTAAGTGCGTGGACTCTAATCTGGGAGAACCATGTTTGATTCCCCACTCCTCCACTTGCAGCTGCTGGATGACCTTGGGCAAGCCATAGTTCTGTCAGGTCTGTTCTTGAAAGGGTAGTTTCTGTCAGAGCTCTCTCAGCCCCGCCTACCTCACAGGGTATGTGTTGTGGGGTGGGGAAGGGAAAGGAGTTTGTAAGCCACTCTGAGACTCCAAGTGAAGGGCGGGGTATAAATCCAATCTCCTCTTCTTCTTCTTCTTCTTTTCCTCCAAGGAGCTCGAGGCGGGATACTTGGCCCTTTCACTATTTTATCCTCACTGACTTAGACTGAGAGCCCATGGCCACCTAGCAAGCTTTGTGGCAGAGTGAAGATCTGAACCCAGGTCTCCCCAGTGAAAGACTGACCGTCTGGTAGGGTTGCCAACCCCCCGAATACTAGAGCGTCCCCCAAACAACGTGGCCGGGTGACATCATTGCAGCGCATGCACTCTGCACGTGCACCAGAAGAGGCCTGGAGCTGGCCTGGACCCTCCCGCCAGGATGCAGACGTGGCAACCCTACCGTCTGGTCACTATACCACACTGACACCCTTCACACCCAAGTTCAATGGTGTGGCAACTCTAGACATGGATGTCAGAACGTAAGAAGAGTCGTGTTGGATCAGACCAAAGGCACATCCGGCATTCCATTCACACAGCGGCCAATTAGGCACTACAACAATCCCCTTTTTAAAGCCTTTCAAGTTGGTGGCCCTTGCCACATCATATCCTGTGGCAGCAAGTTCCACAATTTAACCCGGCTCTGTTCACATGGCTCATTGACTGTACAAGCCAGGGATAGGGTTGTGAGGTCCCCCTGGCACTGAGCGGGGGGGGGGTGTCTTACCAGGTGGTCTGGGGTCTTTGTGGGCAATGCACTAATGTTACTTCCTGTGCACACCAGAAGTGACATCAGTGCATCGCTAGTGTCGCCGGGGTGCTATGGTATTCGGGCAAAACTTTATAGTTTAACCACAGAGTTTTGCCCAAATGCCAGAGCATCCCCGGCATCCTCCAGCAACACAGTGATGTCACTTCCAGGTTCATGGAGAGTGACATCAATGTGCCAGGATGCAGCTGACATCCCACCTGGTTTTGGCACCATTTTTTCTCCCGTCACCCAGCTGGATAACAGCAGGCAGCACCCACTGGGGGCACGGGATCCCCCCAAACCCAAGGGGGGTCTGGCAACCCTCGCCAGTGATGAGCCCTCAGAGAGTCAGTGCCATGACTGTCACTTCAAGTCCACTCCAACACAATACTCTTCACTGGAAAAGGTTGAACATTTGGCTGAGAATCGTGGGTAAAAAGAGCCTTCCCAGAACACACGGCCACCTGCTACACCGAACCATGCATAGGTCAGTCTCTGCTCTTTGCAATCCAGAGTGTGCCAGTGTCACAGAAACTTGCTATGGGTGCTTGGATGGTGGAAAATCAGAATGCTAATGGAGCCCAGAGCAACAATACGAGTCTGTTGGGTTACCAAATTGAACAGGCCTGGACTCTGTTCCTGAAAACTGCAATCCCAGGGTACATTCACATTCCCACGTCCTAACGTTCTGGCTAGGGCTCTGGGCACCCTCACAGCAATAAGAACATAAGAGACGCCAATGTTGGATCAGGCCAAAGGCCCATCCAGTCCAACACTCTGTATCACACAGTGGCCAGAAATACCAGGTGCCATCAGGAGGTCCACCAGTGGGGCCAGGACACTAGAAGCCCTCCCACTGTTGCCCCCCCAAGCACCAAGATGACAGAGCATCCCTTGCCCCAGACTGAGAGTTCCTATCTATACCTTGTGGCTAATAGCCACTGATGGACCTCTGTTCCATATGCTTATCTAATTCCCTTTTGAAGCCGTCCATGCTTGTAGCCGCCTCCTCCTCCTGTGGCAGTGAATTCCATGTGTTAATCACTCTTTGGGTGAAGAAGGACTTCCTTTTATCCGTTCTAACCCGACCGCTCAGCAATTTCATGGAGTGCCCACAATGAAGTCAAGCTATAAAGGGAGGGGAGGGAGAGCGAGATTCAAGTCCAGCGGCACCTTAAAAACCGACAAGATTTCCAGGGCATAAGCTTTAGAGACTCAAAGCTCCCTTCATCAGGTGCCAAGCTTTGACTCCCAAAAGGTTACACCTTGGAAATGTTTTTTTTTTTTGGGGGGGGAGGTATTATTGTGTGTGTGTGTGTGTGTGTGTGTGTCTGTGTGTGTATACCTGGAAGTCAGGTTGACCTCTGGTGACTGATCCCTACTGGGGGTATGGAGGATATTCAGAGAGATGGCTGAATAATGGCTGCCCCTGTCCTCCCGACTGCTGGTATTCCAAGGAGGTCTCCCATCCAAGTACTAGCCATAGTCAACCCTGCTTAGCTCCCTAAATCTGACAAGATCGGGCTTGCCTGGGCTATCCAGGTCAGGGTACACCTTGGGAATCTTGTTGGTCTTTAAGGTTCTGCTTAGGGTTGCCAGGTCCCCACGGGCTACTGGCAGGGGATGGGGGGGGTAGGGTTGCCAGATCCAGGCTGGGAAACTCCTGGAGACAGTGCGATACAATGCCATCGAGTCCATCCTCCAAAGCATTCATTTTCTCCAGGGGAACTGATTTCTGTAGTCTATAAAGTAAAGGTAAAGGTTCCCTTGCTCGAAAGCCAGTCGAATCCGACTCCAGGGTTGCGGTGCTCATCTCCGTTTCAAAGCCGAAGAGCCAGCGCTGTCCGAAGAACATTTCCGTGGTCATGTGGCCGGCATAACTAGACGCCAAGGCGCACGGAACGCTGTTACCTTCCCACTGAAGTGGTACCTATTTATCTACTTGCAATTTCTTGCTTTCGAACTGCTAGGTTGGCAGGAGCTGGAACTAGAGACGGGAGCTCACTCCGTCATGCAGCAACCCGGGTCTTGAACTGCTGAACAACTGACCTTCCACAGCCTGCAGCTCAGGGTCTTAACCACTTGAGCCACCACAGCTCCTTTTGTAGTCTATAGATGACCTGTAATTCCAGGGGGATCCCCAGGTCCAACCTGGAGGCTGGCATCCCTAGCTACTGGACTTGAGTCTTGCTCGTCTACTGCAGACCAACAGGGACACCCACCTGAAACTATGGGGGGGGAGAGTCTTCACCACATACAGGAATACATAAGAATGTAAAGGGCTGATTTACACATTACAAAGTCCTCTATCAACAGACGTGTGCCTGGCCTTCCGTGCTGGGAACCCAATTCCCAGGTCCACAGAAGCTCATTTCAGATTGTGGCACACGAGGAGAAAAAAATTAAGTCTTCCCCACCACACCATTTTTCCTGATCCAAAGTAGCCCTAAGAGCCGCTATTTTGGAGGGGCCGACATGTGGTCACCAGCACACGTAAGTTCTCCTAATGGAGCAAACAGCCCAGGGCCTGTAAACTGACATGCCATGATTCCTTGTTGAACGTTTCCACACTTTTCCATTTCAAATTGGGGCTCAAAATGTACCCCAGAGGATCAGAAAGCTCAAACGCTTGTCACGCATCCTGTTTACTAGTCTACCAAACGGAGATGCTGAGCTCCGCCAGACCAAACTCAGCACAACATTCACCTCACGACGTAGGCCGAGCTAAGAAACCCACACAAGGAACAGAATGTCGGCTTGTGGGAGTCGCGCGGCTCCTTCAGGCACTCGACTGAGCTTCGGTGGGAGGGAGGGAAGGGAACGAGCAATCGCAGTTATGAACAGAAAGCTCAGAGGCTGCAGAATTTACTGGCGTTCTACAGATGCAGCTAAGCAACCCTCAAATCTCTGTCCCCTTGTTGCTCCCGACAGACGCCTCCCTTCACTTACCTTGCCTTCGCATTTCTTGTGGCTGGCCACTTTGCACACTGCAAGAAAAGGAAGAAGAGATGTTTCAGAGCTAGAGTCTGTAACCACACGGTTTGGCTCCCTTTAAAATTTTCATTCAAAGTGCATTACTGTTAAATGTACAACACTAGAGTGCAGTGGAAAGCATGGCGTGATCATTGCTTTAATGGTCAGCGCTGCTATGAGAGGGAATCCTCTCCAGGAGAGATTTGGGCTGGTGCATCAGCTGTGTCTGTTCTGGGTCAGTCGGATCTTGCCAAAGCAAATGGCTGCTTTGGAAGGCATGCCAGAGGCCCCTCCCCACCCCAAACCCTGTTCTCCCCAAAATCTTGTTTGGTGGGCCTTTTCAGTGGTGGCCCCACAATTATGGAACGACCTCCCCAGGGAGGTGTGCCTGGCCTTCTCTCAATCTTTAGGGGGAAGCTGAAGACAGTTTTATTTAGGACTGTGTCTGATTGAAGCCATCCTAAATGACGATTTTTAAAAAAAAAATGGTTTAATGTATTTTATGTACTTTATATTATGTATTTTATTTGTATTGTAAGCTGCCTTGAGCTCCATAAGGAGGAAAGGTGGCTAATTAACATTTTAAATAAATTAATTAAATAAGGACACGGTGATTCTTTCTTTAGTTGTTGGAGATACAGTTACTGGTGCGGAATGTTTGTGCTCAGTGGGATGACAATCCAGGGAGGAGAAGGCTTGAAACAATGACACATTTTTTGGGACCGCCTGGTCAACAGCTCTGTGTTTGATAGGCCTCTTGTTGCTCTGCCAGGGGAAGGAGGGAAAGGCAGAAAGGAACGCAGCAGGAGAGGTTCATACCTTTGCAGACCAGCCCCTGGGCCTCGATGGATTCTTTGCACACCACGCATGCCTTTTTCTTCTTCTTGAATACCTTCTCTTTGAAACTGTGCGGCTCAGACACCTTCCCGGGCTGCAATGACAAACAAGGGCAGGATTTGGTAATGGGAGTTAGGTAAGCACGGCTAGATAAAGAAGAAGACAAGAAGATATTGGATTTATACCCCGCCCTTCACTACCCAAAGGTGTCTCAGAGCAGCTTACAAACTCCTTTCCCTTCCCCTCCCCACAACAGACACCTTGTGAGGTAGGTGGGGCTGAGAGAGCTCTTGACAGAAACAGCTCTTTTTTCAAAACTAGGGCTTGCCCAAGGTCATCCAGCAGCTGCAAGTGGAGGAGTGGGTAATCAAGCCAGCCGGAACTCCGTTCCTGTGCGTGCACACTTAACCACTACACCAAACTGGATATAGCGCCCCTTGGACGCCTGTCGGTGAAGCAATGTGCTTATTAGGTTCACTGCAGTTGGAGAACGCTGCAGGTAGTGTTACCAACATGCAGGTAGTGCCTGGAGATATCTCGCTACTACGACTGATCTCCAGACGACAGAGATCTGTTCTCTAGGAGAGAAGGGCTGCCTTGGAGGGTGGACTCTGTGGCATTGTGCCCTGCTGACGTCCCTCCCCTCCCCAAACGCCATCCTCCCCAGAGCTGGTAGCCCTATCTAACAATTGGTTCATTCCCCCAGGTTATAGCATCCTGAGACATCCCCACCCCGCACGGGTTGTGCTCAGTTTGCGTGGGACTTCTTGGATGCCAATCTCTGCATCGGATCAGGGTCTTGGTGAAATGCAAGCAACGCAATTGTCCTGAATGCAACAGATCCTCTAAATCAGGGCTGTCGAACTCATTTGTTATGAGGGCCAGATCTGACATAAATGAGACCTTGTCGGGCCGGGCCATGTGTGTCATAAACTGTAATGCCAGGCAGTGGAGATATAAACTTCATAAAGGACACAAACACAAAGCTTTTTTTTACTTAAAATAAAAACATGCTTAAAACATTAGCTCTGTAAGCTGCAAACCTTCTTTTGATTTATTGACATTCACCACAGAAATCTCATGCTCAGAGTTCTGAGTCTAGGACCCAGGTTAAAACATGAAATGGCTGAGTGACTGAGAGAGTCCGGCGAAGCAAGCTATGATGCAGCAACAGCAGCTGAACTGGAAGCAGGAGATGGCCAGTTCCACTGCGGGCCTGATCCGGCCCCCGGGCCGCATGTTTGCCACCCCTGCTCTAGACAGTGTTGTTGCCTTAGACAAGTTTTGTTTGCTTGCTTGCACTGTTTTCCAATTCTTCAGATCTAGCCCTACTGCATTTTTTTGTTTAATAGAGATCTTTGTTGTTTGGTTTCTGTAGTCCACCTCGAGACACATGGAGAAACACGAGCTAAAAATGTAATTGTATTATTATCAGGGGTCATTTCGTAGAAAAAGAGGTGCAGGAGCTCATTAGCATAACTCATTAGCATAACTTATTTGCATATGCCACACACCCTGGAAGTGTGTCAGAAGGTAACACCCACTGTTCAGGCTCCACTGGACGGTTTTGGATTGCTGGAGGGGGGGGGACGTGCAGATCGGGAATTTCCCAACCCAGAGTTGGCAACCCAAGCACCTGACGATGGGGCTCAACAACAAGAGAGGACCGCTATTTCCACAACCCACTTGTGAATGCCTCAAAAGCATCTGGAGAGGGAGCTTAGCAGAGCATAATGGTGCAGAGTCCACACCCTCCAAAGCAGCCATTTCCTCCAGGGTGACTGATCTTTTCCTCCAGGGCGACTGATCTTGGTTGTCCGGAGATCAGTTGTAACTCTGGGGGATCTCCAGGCATCACCTGGAGACTGGCAACCCTAAAAGCTATAACACACCCCTGTAGTTAAAGGCTGTCACTTTCAAAACAGACTATGAACAATCGTTTGCTCCTTGTCCTCCAAACCAGTATTACACACTTTGATTGAATCCTGGAGGTTGGGCTGACCAAACCTTAATTTGCAGTTCAGGCAAAACTGCAAACCAGGGGTCCCCAACATGGTGCCCGTGGGTGCCCTGGCACCCGTCAACACCTTTCCTGGTGCCTGCCAAGCGTCTTTGCAAAGTGGGTGGGGCCAGGTGGGGCCAGGTGGGGCTTTTGCCCAGCAGGGCTTCTGACTGGCCACTGGAGATCTGATTGGCTATGCTGATTTGTAAAATGTTCCTTTAGCTGCAACTGCCACCACAGCACAAAGGTCTGCACTGTGTGACCAGCAGCAGCCATTTTGTGGCTGGTTCCACCAACTGTGGCAGCTGTTCAGTGGCTAATCCCAAAGGGGCCCACAGCCTGAAAAAGATTGGGGACTCCCGGTGCAAACTATGTTTGGCCCTGAAAGTGCAAGTGTTCAGCTGTGGAACCCCTCCTCCCCCCCGCAATTTATTTGCATAATAAACCCCCCACAATTTGTCATCGTGTGTAAATTATGGCTTTGAGGGCCTGGAAAGGTATGCTTGAAGCATGCTTTTTTTTTTTTTTTTTAGAAAATCCCA